GTGAAATATTTTGATCCTCGTTCATTTTTGGGTGAATTCGTACTTTTTCGATTTAACGAGTGAATTATTCATTTTGCTTAAATTTAATTGCTTCATTGTATTTTAGACATTTTAGACATTCGCTGTACGCAACACGCGCCTAACATACAAGCCGTTCCCCAGCCTAAGTACGTTAACTTTGGCTGTTCCGGATTTCATGAACGAAGACTAGGCAATGCTTTGCCATTTTCGTGATCGAATACGAACACAGAGTCATTTAGCTCATCCCAGGCCTTCCTTCATTGATAGGGACGCTGGTTCAAAACATTCTATGCTGCCCATTGAAGGGCGTAAATTATGAAAAAGTAAGCACACAATTTCAAAGGAGTTCCAGCCGCTCGCACGGCGTGCATGGAAACAGCTCATTGGTCTCTGACTGGATAATCGAAAGTTGTCAACGTTGCACCGTGAAATTCAGCGCGTTGCTGGTCCCTTGGTCTAGAGCAAAGAAGGAATAAGGTTTCGAAGCCTTGCACGTCTCTAAGAGCCAGTGCCAGTACTGCTATGTTGTGTGTTAAGTCCTTAAAGGAAGTAGTCACGACTGCAGACGGTACTTTCGAACGTCTTCCGCAGCAGATAACTCATATTTGCGACGACCTACTCACAAAAGTGGAACACGGTTGTCACACTTGCTCCGAATAGTCAGGTTGAACTGACCCTAGTGATAGGAATTCGCAAGTCTTCGCACTAAACTCGCAACAATGAAGACTTCGCAACAGGATGCGCGAGAGTCAGATGCCTACCATGTTTTGGCTACCGTTCACTGCAGTTCGTCTATAACTGCTCCAAGTACCTCTTGTTCGACACAAAAGCATGACATTTTCTCTACGACTTCCCAGTCCCATAGTACCAAATCTATGGAAGAATGGTGTTGGTATCACCGTTAATATGGCGGAAAAGATACGCTTTGCCGAGCTCCTTGCATAAAGCAAGACAGCCGCTTCGGGAAAACCGAATAGGCCGCGTGTTAGCATGACCAACGTATCCATCCATAACGAAGCAGATCACCTGTTTTACGGTAAGGATCTACCTCTTGCAACACGTTCCTCATCGGCACGGCAGCGGAAGTGCGCGTCATCCCTGCGAACGCGAACGACCGGCACTCAAAGCCCATGTACAGTCGGACTTCAGCCAAAGTTCGCCGATAGCTTCATATGATCAGAGTATGTTGAACTTGAACCTGAGTCTCCGCCAATATTTTTAATAGGTTTTCACAATTGTGTTTGTACCCTTCGGATTTACCACCATTTTGAATTGCCTGTCGATGCTGGTCGCTACAGATGTTTGGAGCACCATAGTAAACAAGTGTTGAAGTCCTTTTTTCATACCCACGACAACTACTCCCTAGGTCCAAAATGCCGACGCATCTTCGGACAATACCTACCTGCTCACCGATTACCCTGGACTGATCTGACCAGCTTCAGAGCTGCCGCGATTCAAGACAGAAGTCGCTCATCTTAGCTTAGCCAGGCAATCAGTCCCGACAAGACGACTCGCTACTGACAAGCTAAGTGCCGCAGGAGCTGAATTCGACATCTTGCTTCAGATTGCTATTATTAGGTTATTCATCGGTGCGGGTGCATCACCTCTGCATGTGGAGGCTAGCGTGCCTGCGGCAACTGTCGTACCATGAACAATGTTGTCACAACAGATCGCTATCCCATCCCATACGCCGTGAATCGCACCACTAGTTTGGCAAATAAGAACGTTTTTAGTAAACACGAATTGATGCGCGCATACAACTAAAGTCTGGTAGCAGAACCGGACATAGCTAAAACTGCCGTGACAATTTCATTTGGTGTGTTTAATTTATTCGCAAGCCACTTTGTCTAAAGAATGCCACACAAAGTTCTCAAAGTTGTATCAACCAGTTTAGTTGTGGTTTAGTCTTCTTTTATCAATTCTCAAAGACATCCTAATAGCGAGATACTCAAGCGAGGGGCACTTGCGCCACGCGCGGACGCTTTTGAACCGTGTGTTCGGACATGGGGTAACGGTCAACGTAGATGTGTGTTCGTCTGGTGTCGCTTCCGCTCGTTTGCTTGGTTATTATATCTATCTTACTATGTCGTGTAACTGCAGGGTAAGCTTAGAGCCATCATCGACTTTCTTGAGCCTCCTTACTTCAAAAGTTAAAGCTTTTTGTGCGTCTGATAAACTTTTATCGCTGCTTTATACCTGGTTGTGCGTCGTTTATGCAAACCTTACGGACTTTCTCTGAATAAAACTTAAGAAATATGATTGTCCTGCTGCAATACACATTGCGCTTAAAGCTTCGAAAGTAGCTATCACCTACATAGCCCCTATAGCGCATCAAGAAACGACCGCCCTGTTGTCATTCAGTACCGCCGCTTACGATGTGGAAGTTGGCGCTGTCTGGCAGTAAGAGATAAATGGCGTTTGGCACCTGGATGAGTTTACTTCTGAATGCCCGAAATCTGTCGAATCTCGTTACAGAACGTAGGGTAAAGAAATGTAAACCATCTACTTAGACATACATCCTTAGAAGGTCGCAACTTTGCTTTCTTGGCCGACCACAAATCACTGACTTTTTGATGGGCTCTTCAACCGATCGGTAGTTTCCTAGAGTCGCGCCACCCATCGTTTACGACCGATATACGACAAGATTCAGTTGTGCACGGCGCTGTCGTTAACTTACCTTCTCTAATCCAAACCATCTAGGCTGAAGACGGCACTACTACTGATCCAGCAGCCATGCTAGCCGCGCAACTCAGAGATCCTGAGGCAGATCCAATATGTAGGTCCCCCACACTGTACATACGATCCATTCCGCTGATTAGATCAAACGGAACGGTGCTTAACGGCACCTTCCTGGGCACATCACAGCATGTCGTATCACAACCATTTCGATAGACTGTATTCGACATTTTGCATGGCTCGTCTCACCCAGGAGTTCGGGTCTCGGTTAAACCCGTAACCGCACGATTCGTTTGGCCTCGAGTCAATCGGGACATTCTAGTTGGGCTGCTGGTTACCTTTCATGCAGAAGTGCGAAGGTGGGAAAGCACCCGAAAAGCCCATTAAGCACGTTCCCAATGCCAGACACAGGTTTTAACCACAAGCATGTTGACCTCGTAGATTCTTCGCCACCTTCGAAAGGCTCGGTTCGCCTACAAACTTGCATCAACCGAGTCACCAGGTATCCGGAGGCTATTCCGATTCCGGGTTTTTATTCCGAAACGCTAGAAAGTACATTTTAGTGCGCTGGGTAGCTCAGTATGTTCGTCTCGCTTTCATGACCACATATTAAGGGTCACCGTTCTCGTCAATGTTGATCAGGTTTCTTAAGCATTTAGGGTACCGGTACGTCCAGACGAGGACGTTTCATCCAGCCGCTAACGGCCCAGTAGAGCGATTTCACCGGCGGTTGAAGGCAGCGCTCCGAACGTACGTAAGTACATCATGGTAAGAAAAGATTCCTCTTTACCCCCTTGGACTTAGGAACACCATCTAAAGCGATTTCCGGGCGACCCCAGCGCAGCTAGTCTACGGCTCCACGCTGCTTTTACCCGAACAGCTGGAAGCACGAGCACCGCCCTTTCCTCCTTCGACTACTGAAAGATAGCTCATCAAATACGGGAGCTGCACCCATCAGCGCCACGGTGCCAGAAGACACCATCGTAACTGATGGAAAATCTGTTTATTTGCTGCCACCTTCTGCTCCGCGTAGACGTCGGGTAACAGTTTTGCGAATGCCCTACATCGGGCTCAACGAAGTTATCAACCATACAAATAAAGCAGTTACTATCTACGCGGGAGCCGATGTATACTTGTCACAATCGACCGCCTAATACTAGCCTTAATTGTAGAAACTACGTCGCCTCCATCGTCTGGCAATGCTTCACGAGACGTTCCAACTAAATGCATGCATTTTCAACAGCCTTGCTTCGTCAAATCAGATCCCCATCCAGGTCTGTATGCATCAGCCGTCCCGACAACTTCTGAATCTAACCTGTTGCCTCCCACAACCAAATATCGTGGTCGGTAGGTTCGTAAGCCTGTTCTATAGAAGAAATCATGTGCTGCCAATAATAGCTAGAGAGTGCTTTGTGTTGTCGGCAGCATCGCCTCAAGGCTTGTCATACGGCGTACACACATTTTCTTGCGCACATTGGAGGGAATTTTATAATCAGAATTCTGTGTAAGATGATGACTTGAAGTGATTACACGTGAGTTAAATCAGTCCTTCGTATTCAGTACCGCAGTGATCAATGTTTATGGTCATATGGCCCTTATTACTTTTATTTACCTTTGTAAATTTGCAGCTAACGTTAGTTACACATTATCGTCTAGTTGTAAATACTTCTTTCGGGGGCACAAAAGTTTACATTCCGACACATACAAATGACAGATACAGCTATGGGGACGTGTTGAAAGTTCGGTGCAAAAGGCTACTTGAATATGCGCGCACTGTCAATCTCTAAGTGGGATTAAGCATTAAACACTAAGTATAACGCTGGTTCTTTTGTATTTTGTTTACAAACTCGGATGAAATTGGTTGAAGCCACACGCTTCAAGAGCAATAAGAAGCCCAAATACATGTGGGTACACGTTCGATTATATGAAGAGCGGACAGGGTGGTATTTTTCCTACCCATTTCCAAAGAATAGGGATAACTATGAAAATCGACAGCAAACGCTCCGACTACACAAGCGCACGCAATAAGAAATGCGTCTGGTGTATACTGAAAAGCGACTAATCGGATGGCTTGATACATGGCACGCGAAGTGAAAACAGATCAGCTCGCTTCTCTCCTAAAAGTAACCGCTTGAAACGGCGGATTTAGCTGCTTTGAAAGACAGTGAATAGAAATGTGCTATATATGTTAAGAGGTAAATGGGCACTGGTTACGAATTTCATGATATAAACCTTGTGTAGATATTCATGTCCACTTGGCTCTCAATCAGTTGAGATTGGGAATAAAATGTGCGTGAACTCACCAGAGGATGATGTCTCACTTGTCGATTTGCCTGTAATACCGAGAGAGAAAAGCAAGGAACTGCGACTCGTACACATTTTCGACGGACAGAAGTGAGAGGGGGAAAGCGCGATTGCGGTACGTCACCCCGGCAAGATATTCAAATATCAATTCAGTGAGTACACATATATCGTGAACGAACTCGTCATTTTTCATGTATGCAGCACCCTAGATAAAATAGTATTAGTTGATTTGAACTCTAGAAAATGCGTGATTTAACGACCCAAGAGCCTGGACAAAACGCTCAAAATATGGTGGTCAACATACGGATCAGCTGTGAAAAAGCAGCGTAACCTACTTCCCCATTGTGAGTAGTGTATTTTGAAATTAATTTTTACACAACCCCTTCTTTACACAAACCCGAGGTCTCATGTAACGGCAAAGGCAGCTCAACCATACAGTGTTATAACAATCCAAACCGCATTGTGCATTTCATACTTAAATATTTTGTTGGTGAAAAGATCAGTCTTCATCTCCTCCTTTCTCTTATCACTATGATAACTGAAAACACCACTCTCAGTCCAATCAACACCACTCATTATGCTTGGACACCTTTCCACAGCAAATGATTTCAATAGTTTTAATAGATTCCAGACAACAGTCTCTTTTTGGGTTCCGGTGACCCCGATGTCTTCTTCACCTAGTTCTTTTTTTATCAACAGACGCTTCGTCTTTGTACCCGTAGGCGTGCACTGCAGTCAGTGTCTGCTTGAAAATGGCATCGGGGTCTGGTTCAGTGCAGATTACTAAGTCATCATCCATTTCAACAGACTTGAATATGTCTTCCCTCAAAATATATAATGGGAGATTAAATGTCTATTAAACCAACAGCGTTCTGCTCGAGAGTTTAAACGAATCCAGCTTTCTTGAAGCAAATATAAATTGTTTCTGGTTGAAATTTACCTCAGACCGAACTAATCGGAAACACAGCATCCAGAGCATAAAAGCTGAGGCCGTACCCATTGTTCTTGTCGCGTACAAATCATTGAGAATCAAATTTTCCATTACTCATTTCATGGACTTGGCTCCGTGATATGTTTTGCATATATTGATGATTCGTTCTTTGTTCAGAGCTTGTATTTTTTAGGTCATGTTTGGCGGCCGAAACCACTGATGGAGGCGGGAAATTTTTCAGTGAATTATTGAACAAACTCTTTAGTAAATTCGATAGATCACAGTTTACCTTCTTCTAGCCAACCAGTGAAAGCTTGGAAATCTGCAAACCACAAATTCGTGCTACTATTTTTAGAAATTTATTGGATCATCAGCTTAGAGAAGCGAGCAATAACTGCTTTCGTTTGTTTGAACCAGATCGGCGTAGCCTCAATGACCTCATGTTTTGAAGTTTCCTGCCTCTCCCCCTGTAACTCACTTGTATAGTTATCGTATCTCTCCAAGAACTCACGCTTAGGCTGTTCGATATCCCTAACTTTGTCTTGCAAGCATCAAAACTGTTCTGCCGTACTTCTCTGACAACTGCTTTCCAGAAAAGGTGACAGATTAACCTTCTTTTTAAGCATTAACAAGTTACGGTCCTTCCTTTTGACCATAATTCTTCGATAGGCGCAATAGCTTATCCCAATATATTCAAAACTTGGATTGGATCCAATATATAATTTGATATTTAAGGAAAGTCAATTTCATACAACAAACGTTTATTGTTTGTTCTCTCATGCAGACAACAAATGGCGCGAATAGCGCTTAACAATCGGTGGATGCAAACGTCAATGTCACAATGACTTAAAACGTGTAGAACGGGCTAGCTTTAAACCACTTAACCAACGGTTTGACAGAACCACAAGCCCAGGTTGCGAATTACTGCTGCTTTGCTGCTTTGCTTGGGCGCACATACTCGCGAGGCGTGCAATCAGGGAATATTTTGGATCGTTTGCACAATTTGGCGCTTAACAGGCTCGCAAGTATTTTAAGCCAAGGTTGCAAATTCTAGAACGTTTAGGAAGGAAGAGATAATAAATCCAGATTTTGTGTGGGAAACCCCGTAAGTGACAGCGTGTGATGCGTTATTGTTGGACTTGCATCAGCTGGATAAATGCATTGATCATGTAAGATATATGTAATCTACGACGCCTCATCAGCTGAATAGGTCAACGCTAGTTCAATTGCATATGATGGGATATAAAACACAACTTTACATGACCAAGAGGATGCAAAATGTACAAGAAAATTGAAAGCAAATGTGTTCCAAGGTGGGTTGTGAATGCTTAGTTGTAAAGACATCGCACTTTATCATACTGTGGTGTAACGTTTAGCACTGAGATGAAAGTCTAGCAGTACCTCGAAGGTCGCGATATCTGGTGCGTTCACCACATGTGTTGATAGTGCATTATAGTGATAACAGATTCTAAGAAAGTAAAAATATTTCCTACAATCCAAACGGGAGTGTTGAGTTCTTTGTTTTAGATGATTGCCTCGATATTGTTTTTAAGGGTCTAGCTTCAGCAGTGATGCACATGGGTGCTCGCTTTCAATTAGTATCCTGTATGTGAGAAAGAGGTTCCCGTGAATCCGTCGGTATTCTGAGGAAAAGACGACATGCAAACGGAGGCGTTTCGTAACAGAGACCGCATAGTCCACTGCTGCATTGGTAGCCCTTCTGTACGGTCGTTCCAAGAGAAGTATATCTCACTTTAACCATAAGCGCCAGGCCTGAACCGCATAATCAATATGGGACGAAGATATGTGCTAATCAACAGTGGTACTAGTTGTTTCTCAAAGTGCCAAGAATTCGTCTCAAAAGCTTCGAGTTCAAGTTCGCCACATTCGCTGCTTTTGAGAAGTTGAGCAAAGTACCAAGAGTTTCTTGAACGATGATACCTGAGCCTCATTCACTAGTCACATATTGCCGAACATGCTGTCCCAGAAGATGTGTTGCTGAAGCTGCCACGCATCTTTTCACGGTTCGTTGGGAACTGATTTCTTTCTGCCCATTCGTTAAACCGGTCTAGATCTTTCTGGAGATAAGCAAGGTTGGATGTCGAGCGAATTGTTCTCTATATTTTAGCATCATCTGCAAATATATGCATCAGGGATAAGATGTTTTCTGGTAGGTCAATTATGTAAACTAAAAGCAGTAGCGGGCCGAGGACGGATCCTTGAGGTACACCACTGGATACCCAAAGGCTTTCGGAGTTGATCTCGGCTATTATTACCTTGATCATTCTGTCTCGTAGGTAATCCACCAACCAGGGGAGCAGAGAGCCGTTGATACTGTAGGCAGCAAGCTTTTGAAGAAGAACAAAGTGCTTAACCCTATCGAATTATTAGAAAAATCTAAGTAAACCACATCTATGGGGAATCCTTTATCAGCTGCTCTAGTCCATGAATCTCGGGCAAAGAGCAGGTTGGTGAGGCAAATTCGTGTGCGTCTGTAACCAGGTTGGAGACTGGAAATTATTGGCAGACTTTTGAAATATCACGTCATTTCATCTGTGAGAACCGATTTCAACACTCTTGATATAACAGGCTGTAGAATAATAGGATGGCAATTGTCAGGAACCGATCTCTTATCTCTTTTATATATCGGCGTGATACTTCCATTTTTCACTCAGATAGGAATGTGTCGATGTCAAACAGAACCTGGAAAAACGCTGCACAATATACTGCTGTTTTGGAAGTAAGAGTTTAAGTACCTTTGGGCAAATCTTGTCTACTCTGGAGGCACTGATTTTCCGCGGAGGCTGTAATTTGTTCACGACAGCCCTTGGAGTAAAAGGGACACTGGATAAGTCACCGTTTTGTCAGGAACTGATGGAGCAAAGGTTCCATGGTATTTGTAACCACCGAGTCAAACTGCAGGTGCAGAGCGCTCTTGGTATTCACAGCAGTACTCGTCAAGTCACCGGTCGTCTTGAATGGCGGTATTCCAGGTACTAGCTTTCTTTTATCGTTTACAAACTTGAATAGCAGTTTGTTGTTACCAGCAGACTTGAGTACCATTTTCTCCTGCCATTCGTACTTGTCTGCCCTAATACTAGACGTGCAGTACTTTTTGACTTATCTAATTCTGCCATAAGGTTGCACATGGGCTTAGCGCATGTTGATTGCAAATCTCATCACTTCCGTTGATCCAGTTCTATGTTCTGCTTCGGATTCAAGTGTTGGTTCGGCGTAATACTCGTAATGATTCAACTTCCGAAGCTATTTGTATGACCTATTTAACTTAACCTTTAAAATCATTCCATGTGTTGTTCGCTGAACTGTGAGTCTGTCTACTCCACTCAGTGGTTGACGCTAGGTTGTGAAGCATGGAATAGTCAGTAATACTTCCTCTGGTTTCGCGTCCTGGATCAACTATTCTTGCATAACACACATAACCAAATATTAGGACTGCATGGTCGTTATTGCCTAGCAGATGGTCGTGTGCGACTGACTCAGCCATCAACTCTTCATTTGGCAGGTTTAGGTACAGTAATGATGGCTTGTTTGAACCTCGGTTCTGGTACGTCTATGCATATGGCTATACGATACTTCCATATCCACGAATTTAAGGAGTTCTGATTTAACCGAGACAATTTATGATATGTTGAAATCGCTCATCATAAGATAATGAGAGTATTTTTGAAACTGCGTTGTTAAGTGTGTTTAAAATAATGTCAGCGTCGTCTGCGGGGGCGTTCGGTGGCCTGTAGCAAATGCTAAGAGACAATAATCCCTCATCTTCTTCTGTGATCTACCATCGTGACCAGCTAGCTGCACTCAGCAAAGTAATGCGTCAGGAATAACAAGGGAATGTTCGGTAATGGCCACACCTTTAAGGCAATCTCGAAAATAAATGGAAAAAGCTCCACCGTGAGGAGGAGGACCATTTCGAATGACTGAAATCCCGCGCAGTTCAATCGCTGGATCTAGTATGTCGTTCGAGAGCGAAGTTTCAGTCACTGCTACGATGTCCCAATTGGATAGTTCATGTCGATTGCACACTTCTGGCAGCTTAGAGTAGAGGCTGTGAGCTTTGGTGAGCGGCATTATATT